TAAAGCGTCGATGAAGAGCGAGGCCTGACGCATTAAGGACTTGTTTTTCTCGGCGGACGGGCTCGGTCGTGGAAAAGGGTTCGTCCCACACTGATCAGCAGTGTATATTCGCTAGGCCGCTACAATCACTGATAAGGATGACATCAATGCAACTTAATGAGTCTCAAATATTAACTTTTTCCACCGACAAATTAAATTCTAAAACATTTTTTTGATGCATTAGAAAAAAAATAAAGACATTTGGCGTATTTGTAGGTAAAACATATTTCATATTTAATGTAAATGGGTATTAAAATGACTAAAAGGCAGAATTCTGCTCGAAGTAGTAACGTCTTAAGTAAACAATGCTCGCACCATTCAGCCAATGATTGACGCTGCGTGCTGTGACGGCACGTGTTAAATGCAGTCATCTTTTACAGAGATATTAGAGGACTCGTAATTCTCTGTAAAACATATTAGGTTCGTCCCCGTAGGCGTATCTTACGGTGTGTAGCGAGTTGCGGCCGATTCGAAGTGCTTCGTCTCGGCTGTAGTCAGACGAAGAGCGCCTGTCTTCGGACTGGTTGCTCTGATCGGAGCTAGGGCGAACGTAGCTCCAGGCTGAGGAACGACCCATTATCCCCACCCCACCCCTGGTGTCATCGCAGCTGACTTAATTGCCCTTCGTAAGCTTAGGTCTTCGACGATGGAGTGGTAGGAATTGGGTAACAGTTTAGGGGGTTGGCGGCTCTGGTCTCGACTGGTCTTGAAACACGGACCAAGCAGTCTAGGGTAAAATCACGTCCTTTTCACAGATTCCTCCTCAAATAAAACAGGGACTACTTATACCATCACCAATTGATCAATTGGACAAGGGATATTAGGTTTTGCCTCATGATGTTGCACCATGCAGAGGCGTAGCCGTGAAATATATATTGGGGGGGGGGCGCAAATGAAATTATATAAAATGTTGACAAACTGTTACGCCGGAGGCACGAGGCTGCACAGCAGCCAATGTAGCACGATAGGGACAGTGTTAGAGGGTCACCCTCCCACTGAGGGGGGGGGGGGGCACCCCCATAATTTTTTTTTAAAAGTTTCAGTCTTCTGTAAACACTGTTTTGGCATATTTCACGGGGTTAAACTAAAACATCACACCAATACAATGTTTATCATGTTTAAATCAGGGGGTGCCGTATTCATATTTTCTTCATGACTTTTACATATTGAATGTTACGCTTGAGTTATGAACAACACGACAAAGTGAGTTTAGTAGGGGTATTTTTATGAGGAGGATCCAAATGAAACAAAACTTGATCACATAACTTTAGTTTATGAGGATGCATATTTGACAATCACCTTGTTAACTACAATACTGTATACATATACACATTGACATTTACAAGAAAGTTGTATAGATATTTAAAGTATTTTGTACATTTTGTGTATTATAAATGGATTTCAAAAAGTAAACATAAGTCTTTGTGTTTTAATTTGTACATTGTTTTATACAGATAGAACCTTAACTAATCCTAATAATTGTTGTAAATAAATAGGAGTTATGGCCTACTATGTAAATTTTTTAATTTTTTTTGGGGGGGGGGGGCCAAGTATATTCAGTCCCCCCCCCCCCCCCCGAAAAACAATTAAATATAAAATTTATTTTCACTTGGAACAAGAATATAAAACAGGAACATAAATAAAACAGGAACATAAATAAAACAGGAACATAACTCAAACAGGAACTAAACTACATCAGGAATATAACAATAACATTAACATGGTACATTAAGACAACTATTCGGCCCTTCAGCCACGGCCGATCTTCGTTACCCCCTGCTTTTCTCCGCTCATCTCCGGGTCTTATATACATTCGTATTACATTCTATTTAATCAAAAGCATTATCACTAGATTTGGAAATTATTCAGTCCGTAATTAAATATGTACAAATGTGTACGTATATATATATATATGTAGTGGACAGTACAGTGTATATCTTAGATCAATAATGCGAGGTTCAAAGGGTTCGCAGATGGGGAATTCAATCGTCTTCAGTTGAAAATCGACTGTGTGTAATCACTCTCGAACTTCAGTCCAGTAAGTTTAACTCATGTTTTGCGTCACTTACCGATTCTTCAAATCGTTGCTACGATCAACCATGTCAAAGATCTCTTCGTTAAAATTATAGTAGGAATGTGTAAAACGATTTTTAAGGATCACCAGTTACTAATTCAACGTTTTTTCAACGTTTATTTTGATTTTGTTTTCTAAATTAAATGTTAAATAACCAATTTTAGTACACATTAGCGTGGATAGGGCAATGAAAAATCGATATTTTCAGAAAAATTCAAATCGTGCACCGTTATTTTAAAAAAGAAATAACCTTGTAATTATCACATGTACTAACTTTAATCAGTAGAACATATTACAGAATAAATTCAACTCTGTCACAGAAGAAATATATACAACACAATAGTTGCATACTATGGTAGGGTGACCCATGTACTCACAGAAATACAGTCCACCGATGATAGTTCGAGACTACCACTGAAGCGTGCACATTCGGTGTGCCAAGACCAACTTTCTGACAGTATGATACTATAAATAGCCATGGCACATGCAATTCTCTACAAATCTATCAACTATTACAGCCGTAAAAAATTTATTGTTGACGATTTTGAATAGCAGTAAAATTAAGCTTCTTGGTTATTACAGCAGATTTACAAATTACGTTCGTTTCATTTTTTAAATCGCTTTATCATTAACTGTACCGTTAAGAGCGGCATCTTTTGGTTTACTACAAATAATATCTCTGAATCACTCGGGTTAGACAGGAACATGATACTAGCAGTAGTTTCATTTTACTTTTACAAGCTTCTTAAATCGATTGTTGAGCTACCTAACGTGCTTATTTCTAAATTCAATTTCTTGTTCTAGCTTTCTGTTATGTTTCGCAAAAAAGTAGTCTTGATTATCCCGACCTGTCAATCAGACGTAGAATGGTCGATAGACTGGTTAAGCGAGACTAATTTCAAAACAAGGGCACGTAACCTATCTTTTACTCAAAAGTGTCTGGATGTTATGGACGACTCGTGGAACCAGTTTTCAGTCTATTATTTATACATGATTAATGGTCATAGTTTATTAAGTACAACATGATCGTTTATTTAGTGACTATAATTGTGTGAAACTGATTTGAGGCGTGGCATATATATAAATATTGTGGCGTAATTGCCGAGATATATGGAGATATTTATTTATGGTGGGTCACCCTAACTATGGGCCAGAAACTGAGTATGACGTCATCTTGAATTGTGACGTCATATCTAAAGCGAAATCCGTGAATTGAAGCGCAATTGTCCAAGGAACCACCATGCCTAATTTTATGTCAATCGTACATGAATTGACGGAGCCTTAGGCTTTTTTCAAAATGCGCACCAACAAAAACATGATCAGTAGCGCTAAGGGCCAATTACTGAACCTAAAATGATATTGTGTGTGCTATTTGCGATTTTGTTTATTTCAATCACAGAGTGTGCTGGAGAAAAACAAAATATAACTTATCTGAAGCTTCTTAATCGTTAAATTTTTGGATTTTACGCAAAGAGTCGATATCTATGATTTTTTACAGTTGCTATGGAAACCAGGAGAAATAACTATTATAGTCCGTTTTGAAAATCGCCCAAGAATCGATTTCATAATGTCGATAAAATTACCTTTCTAACAATACAAAATAACCATTGTTCTACCATAGGTAGGGGTATAGGAAAAAATATGGGCTTAAACCGCTGGACTAATAGCTAATATTTTGGTAAAGGAGAATACAAATACAACATATGTATTTATCAAATTATAAATCATATCCTCTGGTGCACTTATATTTAGGCTAGCGGTTTAAGCCCATATTTTTTCCAATACCCCTACCTATGGTACTCTACAGAAAGTTGGTCTCGACATGGCTAAATGTGCACGCTTCAGTTGCGTGTCTCTGATTTCTGACTACCCCGCACTTTCTTTGAGTCGATAAATAGCCATGGCACGTGCAATTCTCTACAAATATATCAACTATTACAGCCGTAAAAAATCTATTTTTGACGATTTTGAATAGCAGTAAAATTTAGCTTCTTGGTTATTACAGCAGCTTTAGAAATTATGTTTGTTTTATTTTTTACATTGCTTTATCATTAACTGTACCGTTAAGAGCGGCATCTTTTGGTTTCGTACAAATAATATCTCTGAATCACTTTCAGTAGCAGGAACATGATACTATCAGTAGTTTCATTTTACTTTTACAAGTTTCTTAAAACAATTGTTGAGTTGCCTAAAGTGCTTATTTCTAAATTCAATTTCTTGTTCTAGCTTTCTGTTATGTTTCGTAAAAAAGTAGTCTTGATTATCCCGACCTGTCGATCAGACGTAGAATGGTCGATAGACTGGTTAAGCGAGACTAATTTCAAAACAAGGGCACATAACCTATCTTTTACTCAAAAGTGTCTGGATGTTATGGACAACACTTGGAACCAGTTTTCAGTCTATTAAGTACAACATGGTCGTTTATTTAGTGACTATAATTGTGTGAAACTGATTTGAGGCTTGGCATATCTATATATATATTTGTGACTGTCGTTTGTCTGTCTGTCTGTCTGTCTGTTCGGGGTTGGCGGCTACACTAGGTCTGCCCCGAGTCTGAAATTTGGGGTATAGGGGTAGCTTGGACGGGGGAGTAACATAGGCCAGGTGGCGTTAGTCTACCACTTCCGGTTTCAGAGTTATGACCCCCGAGCGAAGCCGGTCTGTTCGGGGTTGGCGGCTACACGAGGTCTGCCCCGAGTCTGAAATTTGGGGTATAGGGGTAGCTCGGACTGGGGAGTAACATAGGCCAGGTGGTGTTAGTCTACCACTTCTGGTTTCGGAGTTATGACCCCCGAACGAAGCCGGGTATCCTGCTAGTATATATATATTTGGAGATATTTATTTATGGTGGGTCACCCTACCTATGGTAGAACAAAGGTGATTTGGTATGGTTGGAAAGGTAATTTTATCGACATTATGAAATCGGTTCTTGGGCGATTTTCAGAACGGGCTATACTAGTTATTTCTCCTGGTTTCCATAGCAACTGTAAAAAAATCATAGATATCGACTCTATGCGTAAAATCCAACTATTTAACGATTAAGAAGCATCAGATGAGCTATATTTTGCGTTTTTCTCAAACACACTTTGTGATTTAAATAAAAAAAATCGCAAATAGCACAAGCAATATCATTTTATGACCAGTAATTAGCCCCTTAGAGCTACCGATCTTGTTATTGTTGTTCTTGTAGGTGGCAATTTTCGAAAAAAATGAAGGCTCCGTCAATTCATGTACAATTGACATAAAACTAGGCATGATGGTTCCTTTGACAATTGCGCCTCAACTGACCATTTTCGCTTTTCGATATGATGTCATAAATCCAAGACGACGTCATACTCAGTTTCTGGCCCATAGTACACTACTATTTGTTATATTATTATATGGTTGCACAAACACAGCGGGGCCGTAGGCCTTGCATTGTATATTTATTCCGTAATATGCTCTACTGATTCAAGTTAGTACATGTGATATTTTTAAAATAACGGTGCGCGATTTGAATTTTTCTGAAAATATCAATTTTCCCATGGCCTAATCCACGCCAATGTGTACTAAAATTGATTATTTAGCATTTAATTTAGAAAACAAAATCAATATAATTATCAACCCTAGCTTTTCTACCGGCTTGTATTCAATCGGATTATAAAGAGAACCATCATTTAGATTTCACGAACACCTTAAGATGGCGGCGGACGTCACCTGACAACAATCAGACTACCGTAGATTACAACTTCCAAGAAATATAAACCTGTATTGTACGCAGATTATGTCAAGCAAAAGAAGCAAAATGTACCATTTGCATGGGATTTCGCTTCATCATATGTTGGTCAATACCATGAATGCCATTTAACCATTTTTGGACTGATAACCATTTTAGAAATTCATTATATCTGTATGTTGCCATTCTTCGGAAAAAAGTTGAATTAGTAACTGGTGATACTTAAAAATCGTTTTACACATTAACTTATAATGATCTCTGTAATAAATTTCACAAGGAACAAAACACGTGCCTGTTGTAGGCCTACCCTTGACGAATTGCGTTTCATTATTGCTATACGTCAACGGACACATTGCCAGCCACTCTTCCTCGAACAGATGACGTCTTACAATTACACACCACACATACATGGTGGCACACCATGAGGCGAAACCTAATATCCCTTGTCCAATTGATCATGGGCGGCGAAGAAATGGTGCTGGTATAAGTAGTACCTGCTTTATTTGAGCTACATTCGCCCTAGCGCCGATCAGAGCAGACAGTTCGAGTTGGTCGCAACTTGCTACACACTGGAAGATACGACCGAGCCCTTCCGCCGAGAAAAACAAGTCAGGCCTCGCTCTTCATCGACGCTTTATATAACAGTTTTCCATATGCAGACACTGTACATGTTATGCCCAATGCTGCAATGGCAATATATCAAATGATGATATTTAAAACTGATTTTTGGGTTATATTTACACATTTGAATATCATTGTAGTATTTAGAACATTTGGAATTTCATAAAATAACAAAACGACCACGATTTTAAGTTTCTTGGTGGACTCTTTATATGGAATAAACCATATTTTATTACTGTCTAAATATAATAAATATATTAATCCGTTGCAATGGATTATTCAAACTCAAAATCTGTGTTTTTAAAATAAGGATTCTGAAATTTAATTAACAAATTACCCTTTAATTGGTACTCTCATGACAATAGGATAGCAATGACGTCACTATTACATCACAATTACGTCATATATGCAAATTTAGAAGTTTTGACCAAAAATATGACCTGGTCACCCATTACTCTTTCAGAAGATAGTAAATTATTTTCAAGTTTTTTCAGCACCAAAGAATAAGAACCAAAAATCTATCCCTACCCCCATCAAATTTATTATCGTTAAAGAAACCCTGACCATTGGTAAAAGTGCAAAAAAATATATTGGGCCATGTTGAAAATTTGCCTAAGAACTAGATTTGAGTTCTGGTGATGTGACCCTTTAAAAAAACATCCAAGCTCTTTTGTTCTACCTCGGGTAGGGGTATCTCGCCATCGTGCTGTTTAAACCACAGACTACTTCACCACCTTGTAATGTGGAATACAGAAAATTCAGAAATATCAATAAAGATAAATTTAATGAGGTGGTGCTAACTCTTTCCATCTCATCCAATAGAACTCTCGAAGAACTTGTCAATAATTACAATAAGCTCATTAATAACATTATTGATGCCCACGCTCCTAAGAAGACACGAAGAATAGTCATAAAACCCGAAAACCCCTGGTTCTGTGATACAATTCGGGATGCCAGGAAAGTCAGGAGAAAAGCTGAACGCACCGGGTGAGGACGGGTCTATATGTCCACAAACAAATCTACATAACTGAAATAAAATCTGTAGCAAAGTTAGTTGAATCTAAAAAAACAGAGTACTACAATACTGATCAAAAGAAATTATTTAATTTATCAAATGATTTACTGAACTCAAAAACAGAACAAACTCTACCAGATCATGAATCACTATCCAACTTTGCTGATAAATTTGCGACATATTTTAATCAAACCAGCGGCTGCCAGGCAGGATACGCCCACATTTTCGAGAGATGGATAGAGAACAAGCTAAAACGAAAGTGATTTTTCTTACAATCAAGGGCCATAATTCAGGAAATTACAATTCAATATGTGCAAATATCAAAAGGAAACGAGATCTTTGGGTTATAAACTTACATTTCAATATCACAACCTTGATATACCATATTTTTTACGCTATTAGAGAACGAGTTGGGGCCATTTTGTCTGTCAGTTTTGGGCCGATTTTCACAAAATTCAATCTCAGCCGTCCTTAGGGTGTAACGGTGATAGGATTTTTAAAATCGGATAAAAATTATGACCTCTATAGGGTCCACAAGCTAAAAACGTGATTTTTCGTACAATCAGGGGCCATAATCCAGGAAGTTACGGTCCGATATGCGCAAATATCGACAGCAACTGAGATCTTTGGGTTATAAACTTACATTTCAAGTTTCAACAAAATTGGATAAAAAATTGTGACCTCTATAGGGTCCACAACCTTGATATACCATATTTTTATGCTATTTGAAAACAAACGGCGGCCATTTTGTCTGTCAGTTTTGGGCCGATTTTCACGAAATTCAAACTCAGCCATCCTTAGGGTTTAACAGTGATATAATAATACATTTTTTTAAATCGGATAAAAATTATGACCTGTATAGGGTCCACAACCGTGATATACCATATTTTTACACTATTTGTGTACGAGGGGCGGCCATTTTGTCTGTCAGTTTTGGGCCGATTTTCACGAAATTCGAACTCAGTCTTCCTTAGTATGTAACGGTGATATAATAATAGGTTTTTATAAATCGGATAAAAATTATGACCTCTATAGAGTCCACAAGCTCAGAAGCTATTTTACGTATAATCAGGGGTCATAATTCAGGAAGTTACATTCCGATATGCACGAATATCGAAAGGAACTGAGATCTTTGGTTTATTAACTTAAATTTCAAGTTTCAACAAAATTAGATAAAAATTGTGACCTCTACAGTGTTCACAAGCTAAAAACTTGATATTTCGTACAATCAGGGGCCATAATGGTTTGGATTGTTCGTACTTGGTTTTATTTTATTTATGCCAATATCAAAAGGAACTGAGATCTTAGGGTGATAAACCTATATTTCAAGTTTCATTGAAATCAGATAAAAATTGTGACCTGTAGACTGTTCACAAACAATTGTGGACGGACAAAGGCGACAACAATATACGTCCACATGAAAATATGGGCGTATAAAAATTGTGCAAATTAGAGATGATATCATCACAAAGACCTCCCTTATTGACCAAACCCAATGTCCGTCTTACAAAGTTCCCACTCTACATCTGCTAGCAGAATTTACACCATACAGCTTAGATGAACTTACAAGTGTGGTGCTTAAAACCAAGAAGAAGTCTTGCCAGTTAGACCCACTTCCAACATGGCTTCTAAAAGACAATTTGGATGCTTTTCTACCAATCCTTTTAATTATTGTCAACAAGTCACTTCTAGACAGAGTCTTTTCAAGTACCCTGAAGCAAGCCATGATCACACCTCTGATCAAAAAACCATCCTTAGATGCTGATCTACTGAAGAACTACAGGCCAGTGAGTAACCTGAGCTACATATCAAAACTCATTGAGAAATGTGTGCTACAGCGTCTGAACGTGCATATTCGTCAGAGTGCTCTTGATAATCCTCTTCAATCGGCTTACAAGCAATTCCATAGTACGGAAACTGCTCTCATAAAAATTGTTGATGATATCCACAAGTGCATTGATCAACAACAGAGCGTATTGCTGATTTTGCTGGACCTATCCGCTGCATTTGATACTCTCGACATCAGTGATCTCCTAGACACACTATGGGTTGAAATTGGCTTGCGTAACAATGTGTTCAACTGAGAGGGGAGTTTTGAGTGGGGTCCCCCCAAGAAAATTATCCGTCATTTCCTTGCATCTGTAGCCATTCCAAGAGCTATTTGGCTGATATTTTCGTCTATGTAAACGTTCGGAAATCGTTGAAAAAGAGCCTTAAAATCAAGCAAAAAAGCCAGTTGAACATGCGACTCGAAAATTGTCAAGGCGAGTGAGGCATTATGATGGGAAAAAAGGCAAATCTATTCCCTAGCCACTTCACTATTTAAGCCTTGTAACTTGTACTGTCCACACATGAAACAATGCTACACCAAGTTGCACTCATGCGCGTCGGTGATGGGCATGAGTGTATACGCCGCCAATTCCACAAGATGCTATCATTGATGTCTGTCTATAGTCACTCTATAGGATTAGGGCAACGTCAGCTAAACAAGAATTCGTTTGAAAGTTGAAGCATTAATTAGACCAGACTGGTGTGTTTGAGTCGATGG